CTGTCAAATTCAATTCCCGTTCCGTATGGCCTAATGGTGTATATATGCCAATTATCGGTGCAGAACAGGGCTTACTTTAATAAAACCGAAGGAGGCTTTCGGAAGTCGTTTCGGTTGAAGACTTAAGCTCCCCACTTAATCATTAAAGGGCGGCTTTAATGGATACCCAATAATCTCGATAGCAGAAAAGAATCTTTATGCTGGAAAATGAATCGATTCGACCTCCGACTTTTGCAAAATATTATGGAAAATAAAGCCTTTGATCCGCGTATCGCAAATGATGAGGTTTTTAATACAAGTGAACCCACATCTTTTTTTAATGACCTTTTCGAATATTTCGCCAAATTGCAACGAAATCATAAAGAGCCACAGCAAATATTTATGTACAGTTAAAAAAACCTTGTTGTAAAACTAAAATTACTGAAATTAAATTAGCCCATTTTAATTTCAGTAATTTTAGTTAAAAGGTTAAATTAATTAAATTATTTTTATAATATTTTTAATTTCTTTGTGGTGTTGTTTACAACACTCTTAAACCAGAATTTAAATGAGTTTTTTTAAGCAGTTCTAAATATTTGAAATAAATAGTTAAAATAAAAGTATAAAACGTAAAGGTAGACATTTTTCTCTAAGTGCAGCACCCTATGAACGTTTATTTGGTCTAGACTCTAAATCTTTTCCCGTCGGCTGCCCTGCAGCCACAAGAACTGTTAATGAAAATGGAACCGACACGAGTAAATATGGTACACCGCACAATGGAGCCGGGAAATCGCTTGATTTCTGCCCGAATGCATTTGCAATGGCTGTCGAATCCCTTGTGACGCACTGCATCAACTCTAAACACAATTTGCTGTGTGCAAACAGGACACGAGCCTCCCTTCTCCTCGTTCTCCGCCGGGAGTACATACACACATACACACATACACACAGCTACACAGAGAGAAAGAAAATTAACCAGGATGCAACCTGTTTGATAAATATTAAATTTATTTTATTTTTATGATTATGCATTGTCGTTGCTCCCTAATAATAAATTAATGGTTAAATACGTTTTAAGGTAGCATTGCAATTCAAAAGTGACTTTTCCTTTGCAAGCTTCACATTAATGTGAGAAATATAAAACCTGCAAAAATATTAACAAAAAGTATTATTTATATTTTATTTAAAGGCCTACAAATAATTAATGGGCTAAAATGTTTGAACAGTATTAATCGGTCTGAGATTAAATTGAAATCAATTGCTAGTTAACAAATCAAGAAAAAAGAAAACCTTTGTAATTTAATAATCCCGAAATGACAAAAACTGTTGAAAAATTCACGATTGATGTCTGCGATGTAATACATTACAAAGTGTTATCACAAAAAAAAAAGGTTAGTTAATATAAAAAATAAAATGTTTGGGTTGTACCGTCTGCGATGAAAATAAAATACATTCTTAGCGAAAAAATGTGCCGTACTTAAAATAGTATATTAAAAAACGTATTACATAAAAATTCAGTGAAAACATTTACCTTTTTCAGTTGCAAAAAATTGTAGTAGCAGGTGGTAATTTTTTTGTCGATCACTCAACACAATATTTGCCCATTTGGGAACCGAATCCGGATGCCTCTGCTGTGGCCACTGGTTGCTGGGCAGGATTGGAGGGAGCCCTGGCTGATTGGAGTCGCCACAAGAGTTGCAACATTTTTCGCACTCATTTGGAGAGCATGACTGGCCACGAGCCCTTCAGCAATTGGGGATGCGAATGGGCGAACGGGCGACCCGACCCCACGATGACTTGAATATTGCGGACCGATGGCAACAAATGGTGGTCGTTAGGCAACCGGAGCTGGAACTGGAACTGGATGGGATGGCCATGGATGGGCATCTGTGATGGGCTATTTGCGGCCAGGCCCTTATTTACATGCTGACAGCAGATGTGGCAGGACGAGGCGACTGACATTCGACCATCAAAACTCAATTACCGCACTGGGCACTTGTTTTGGGCCTGACTTTATTAAATTTTCGTTTGTCTATTCGGAATTCCGGAACAACGAGGAGCGAGGGTTTGGGCATTATGTACACAACCTGGCGGTCAAATTATTGGCCAAAACTTCTAGCTGAAAAGTCGACAAAAAAAGTATATTTATATATAGAAGAAATAAAGTTTTCCAGCTCTTCGTAAAGAGGTCGTGGCTAAATGTCAAACGTTACTTAATTGAAAAGAGTATCTTCACTAATAAAGAAGCGCAATATTTTTCCGCTAAAACATATCTGCATTCCATCCTCTACATTTTTATATTCACTGCACTCAATTTGCAGCTTTGTCTTTCAATTTTTCCTCTATGTTGCATTTTCTCTTTCAATTAAGTTTTTAAGGTTTTCTCCGGCCATATAAATTTCAAGGAATGTTTTCTCTAATTTTTCTATTTTTCCAGCTGCCCTTTTAAATGGTTCAGTGAATTAGATAATTGGCTGGCCATGCAAATCCTTGTCATCAAAAACAAAGTGATTTTGTCCATCGGAAATTGACCATACGATTAATCGAAATGTTTTGGCCAATTAAATTCTTCAAACGGAATTCCTTTTAATCGGCTTATAGAAGTCGTAACCGCAAAATACAATGTCGCATTGATTGTGCATTGTAATTAACTGAGAGAAAACTAATTCCGATGTCCCTGATTGGCAAGCCAGCAGAAGCCAGCTCAATGGAGCCGCACTCTATCCGGCTTATGAGTTATCCAACCTGGCAAATGAGTTCCTTGGGTTGCCAGGCCAATTCCAGTTGACATCTAGCGTCACAGTGGGTGGCATTCAATCCACAAGTGGCCAAATCAGCCGCCAAGTTCACGCTCCATGCGAACCTGCATTAATCACTCGTGTGCATATTTCAAACCCAAAACTGTCAACGTGAAATCATTCTGCTCCTGGAACGAGACTTTCCTTCAACCGGTGATATTTCGAGGCTTGAATACACATTAATTACGTCGGTGAATCTGATAAATCTGTCAAAGCCTGTACCTACACTCAGGAATTCGCAAGACGGAATAGTTTAGCATACAAAAATTTGTTTTGTTGATAAAAAGTTGCCTGATTTCTACCATAATTTTAAATTAAATTCTACATTATTATTTAAATTTTGAAAATTTACATTTTTTAATAGCAAATTTGGAAAATTAAACTATTAATAGCAAACACTTCTTTCTACATAAAAATAATTTTAAGTCTCAAGTAATTTACTTTATTTAATTTCTATAGTACTTAGTTTTCTTTATCATTTTTCTATATTTAAATATTTTTATGATTATTAACTTCTATATATTTATTTAAATTTGGAATATTAATATTTGGTTTTTTTTTTCGAAACAGCAAAAGCAAACATTTCTTTCTGCAAAAAAATAATTTGAAGTCTCAAGTAATTTACTTCATTTATTTTCTGTTTAAAATTTTAGTAAAATCTTCCAGCTGTGGGCAATTAGTGGATTTCTTGTGGAAGCGATCAAATCAAATGCTGTCAGTTTTCCCCGGACGATTGTTTGGCCAATATTCATTGTTGAATTATGCAAACGTGGAAGGCCCAACGCCAATTAGGCCTAATTACTCACGTTCGTTAGGCGGCACAGTTGCAAAATTCGAATTCGAATACGAAATTCCAGCAAATAACTTCGGCGCACTTCCCTTTGGCTCTCCACTTCTTCGCTTCTCCGCTTAATTGGCAAACATTTTGTTTATTCAAATTTGCCGTAAAGTGCGTAACATTTGCATTTGACGAACGACGCCAATCCGGAGTGTCGCAATCTCTGGCATTTCGTGGGTGTCCGCTCCAAATACTATACCATAGTGCCACGCACGTGTGGGCGTCGCGTGGCGGTGGTGGTGGAAATTAATTAAATGCCCTCCCCTCTCCTTCTGAAGTTCACCACCCCAGGCGACCAGGATTAGTTACCGGACATGGATCCTTCAGGCGTCAATGCGACAGGACAACAAATGCTTGGCGTTGACGGATTCGGCCTGAGCAGCGATTTAATTCCACTCGAGTTACCTAATCTTGTGAGCCGTAGAGATGACAACAGATGGCTAGATTAGGGACTATTAATAGAATAATGATATTCGAATTAGCAAACTTAGCTTTGAATTGTGTATACAAAAATTTAAAGCAAAGTAATTATACTTATTTATTATTGATTTCTTATTTAGTTGATTGAGAAGACTATTATAATATATATTATATTATATATTATATGGTACTTTCATTTAAAATTTATAATGAGAAAGCTTGTAAAGAATATGTACTACCCAAATCCAACGAGTGCCTTAAAACTAGAGAGCAACTTGTTCAATGCACATTATTATATGCATAATATGCATTCATAACATTATTATGCTTTTGCAAACAAAAGACAAAAAACCATAAATTCCCATGTACTTATGGTACTGGGTTGCATATTAAAATTAAAACGAGAAATTGACAGCACTGGCAGGTTTTCTCAGAGCCTTCCCCTTCCCAATCCCTTCCCATTGCTTTCTATTCCCTTCCCATTCACCTCTCATTGCCTTCCCATTCACCTCTCATTCTCTTCCCATTTCCTCTCCACTCCCTTCCCATTTCCTTCTCATTCCCTTCGTGGGTGGCACCTTTTGTGGGGGCTTTCATGGGATGCATTTGCATCCGCCTGTGCCGTCTTCCTTCCTTTCCTTCCTTTCTGCCGACTACCACATTTTTACCACAGTTTACCACATTCTTATGTCTTTGAGCCACAAGCTCTGTAGCACAAATTATGCGGATGCAGTGGGGAATGTGAGTGATGGCATCGGGTATGCATGCAATTTTCGCCCCCTCCACATCTCCTCCGCATCCAACATTTACCTGTGAAACCATCAGCTCTGTGTTCTTGACTTATCTCGTTTCCCTACCGCAGCCAATTTGCACTTTCTCAAAAAAAAAAAAAAATACTACTAAAGTGAATAGTATGCGATGAGCTCGATAATTTGTCCTAAAAATGGAAGGCCATGGCAAACACTTCTCCCTTCCCCCGAAAGTAACAAAGTAACTGATAGACAGACGGCTCCAAAATGATGGAGGAGAAACGCCTTGAAAGGCAGAAGCGCCTGTTGGCGATGCGAAGTGCTGCCCCATCGCTGCCCTCCACCCAGAGGCAGGAGTTCACCCTGCGGCTGGTGGAGCTCTACAAGGAGCGTCCCTGCCTGTGGAAGACCTCCTCGTCCGAGTACAAGGATGTGGAGCTGAAGCAGATCGCCTGGGAGGAGATTGCCGGCCAGTTGGGCAGCCACCTCAGTGCCGAATTCGTTCGCAGCCAAATGCGCCGGATGCGGTATCACTTAAATGTCTACAAATTGCAAATGCTCGAGTACCAGATAACTCCCGGAGTGGAGAAGCCACCGGAAAAGCCCTTCTACATCGACAGCTTCGCTTTTCTCGACTCAACGGCTGATTTGGAGACACCAGAATCGAATCGGGAAACTGAATCGGAAACTAGTTCCACCGCCGAGCGATATGCAAAATTCTGGTCGAGCTTCAGACAGAAGTCCCTTGCCAAATTTGAGGCGAACGATGGATCCTCGGAGGATCATCATCGCTCTGAAACGAGCATCTTTGGAATGGTTAAGAAACGCATGGCGGAGGCACAAATGAAGCCACTCAACTTCACCATGCCGCGTCTTTCGATTTCGCAAATACAAAAGGATATTATTAGGAATCGTGTGCTGGAGCGAAAGGCTTCTGCCACTTCGTTTGAGGTCCTTTCCGAGACGCCACCACTACTGAAGGCTCGTCCTGGCGACTCGGTGTCCAAAACCAAGTTGGATCCAAAGCAACTATCCAGGAATCGTCGTGGTGAGCAGCCAACAACCTCCAAAATGGCTCAACTTTCGCTGGGAGAAGTGCAATCTGAGGATGAGGATCTGTATAATATGCACTGGAATGTGCGCAAGGAGCAGCGCTCCCTTCGTCCTGGACAGGATTACCGACCGAAGTTGCCAACACGCCACCGATCCTCCCGAACCAACGAACCATCTCCAGATATTTTTTAGAAACCATTCCCCAAGTCATTGAATTGTTTCCGTTGTTGTTTAAAGCAAGAATATCAAGTGCTACCTACCCAAGTTATTAGAAGCAAATTTTAGGTTTTGGCGATATTTCTTGCAGGTTGTGGACCCCTAAATTGCTAAAATAAAATATGCCTTAACTGGTTTCCTTAACTTTCCAGTTGTTTTTCTTATTAGTCATCTAGGCAAGCAAGTTAGTATTGTGTTATTATTATGATTAAATATGTAATAATTATTTTTTTGGGCTTTACCAATAAAATATGTGGTCTTAAAGTTAAAAACAACAACACAAAAACGATACCAATTTTACCTATCTAACTAAAAAGTTTGTCTTATAAAAATAACTTAAACTTCGCATATCTTAAGCTTTAAAAGTTCTTGAAAATATTTTTTAATTTATACCCGGGTATAACCTTTATGTGTTTCTTCCCTTTTCCTACGATTATATATTATATAATTGATAAAAACCTCAATATGAAGGGTTCCCACCATATCGAAGTGATGGTTCAAAAACCTTTGAAACTGATTAAATCGCAGTAGGTATTTTTTCTGTTCATAATCTCGGCCACACACTCTGTCATTTGAAGTTGAACAGTCGAGAAAGTTTTAAAAATTCTGACAAGCTGAACAGCAGAGAAAAATTGTGGATAATATATAGTATACAAATATCCTAATCGAAGTGATGGATGCACGTTACATCTCGGTGAAGTCACTCCATAATCCCTTCAAAAGGCTGAAGCTGGAAGTTTGTGACGATGATAGCCAGGATGAAATAGAGCAGCAGAACGTCGACGAGAACGTGGCCAAGGATGAGGATCAATCGGATTCCGAATCGCAGGATGATCTTAGTGATGATGGTCAGCCGAAGCGCAAGAAAAAGAAAAAGAAGAAGGTTTAGAAGATCAGAAGAACGTCGACGACAACGTGGCCAACGATGAGAAGGAAGTCGAATCCCAATCCCAGAAAAATCAGGATAACGGCGATGGCGAGGAAACCCACAACGAGGAAGGAGGTGATTATTTTGATGAGGAGTACGGTTTGGAGGACGTGGAAGATTGCGAATCCGACTCCGTCTCTGAAGATGTTGATGATGATGATGATGAAACCAGTGACGGGGAATTCGAGTTCGAGGAATATGAATTGTATACAGACGATGAAGACGACGACAGCTTCTAAGAGCTGCAAAATATATATTGTTTCTTGTAAATAGTATGGATAACTTAATTTTATGGATAGCTCTTTAAAGCCGTGGCAATATTTCCTTCAATAAATTTTGATTGGATGCCTATGGTATTTCATTTTAAGCGGAGCGAGATTCCTTAGCTTTTTTTATTTTTGCTTCATTTGTATTTATTTCTTATCCGAACATATGTACTTTAAATACTATTGTTGTTATTATTATTGATGTTCAAATATGTGATCAATAAGTTCCCCATTTCCAGAGTGGTTTTAGCTCAAGAATTAACATATGTATAGACAAACAAACAGATAATGTAAACAAACTCCTCTTTTGTTTAAGTTGTATTAATTATTTTCCTCTGGGTTAGTATGTGTTTTTGCTCCTTATCTCACCTTTGGTGCCTTCGATACAATTGTTGAAGGACATCTTCTCTGCCGCGCCGTGTGCAAAGTGCTCCTTCCTTCAAGTTTGATTAATTCCCGAGCCTGGCCAAATGAGGTGGAAAGATACGGCAGGAGCGCCACGAGTTCGTCCAGCCATGATTTATGAATTAGCCGAGAATGATGATGAAAAGTCTATACGCCAAGCTGCGAACTTGCCAACTTGCCAACTTGCTAACTTGCAAACTCTTCTTGCCGCAAATGCAAAAACCAACGACGAAATTAGTTTTTGGCTGCCAGAACAAATTACGAAATTACTCGCATAAAGTGCACATACGGCGGATTAGGCAACAGTTTAGGCCCTCAACCACATTACCCCCCACCCACTCAACCACTCAACCACCCAACCACTTCACCCACTTCCCGAAACCCGAAAAGCGGTGCTCATTAGCGTGAGAATTTAATTTAATTTCTTTCAATAAACCCCTTAAGTGCCGTCCTTATCTTTTCAATCGCTTCAATCCCCGCAGCTTTTGCTGGGTAACTTTTGATTAATTGATTGATTAAATGAGTGACGAATATCCCGGCCAAAAAGGACTCGCAGTCCCTCGATTTTCTTGGCCATTTCGAGTCGGTCCGATACAAGTAATTACGCTTTTGATGGCTACTCACTTTGGTTAATACGTAGTTACTATGGTAGAAGAAATTTCATCGCATTTCATGGCATTTCATCTGGCTTTTATCGCGTAATGGTTCTGCAATTTTGAGGCAATCCTTGTGTTCAGTTCAAGCCCACTCGGAACTCCAGTTTGTCCTTGAAGAAATGCAAAATGATGTGAAAATATGCAAACTGCGTGCGCGTTCTCCAAAAAACTGTGGGCACGTTTCGGCTGTCTTCCCATTTGGCGAGAGTCTAAAAACAGAATTATTCCTGCCGGTTTTCCAGCATAGGTCATTAGCATTCCCCGGGCATTTGGGGCGATGGAGGGAATCAGGGGACCAGATCCCCCGATTAGCCCTCGTCCTGTTCGACAGACATTGCTATTATGACTTAATTAAAAAATAATATTTTTGCATTTTATTATTTCCGCCTCTTCATGGCGAATGCGAATATCTAGGGAACTTTTGGGCATGCCAGTCAACAGATAAGGACACGATGACTGGCACTCTATCGAGAACCGAAAACCCCGAAGGTGTTTATACACTCAGGTTCGAGGGAAAGTACAGAAAACCAAACTGTCTGTTGGCTAAGTCATCATGTTCAACTTTCTTTCATCAACCGCTAACAAAATATGTACGCAAAAGTGTTAATTCACCTGAAGTCCTCCACACACAAGCTGATTTATCAGCTAATTTTCTGTTTCAAGGGTTGGAAAAGAAAGGTTTGGGTAACTGATTCTAACCACAGCTGAATTGCCCTTTAAACTATTTGACAGACTAATCTATAAGAGGGTTCTAAATCCTATTTTTAGTCAAACAAGTATGATGTTGGTAAAGGTATTAATATGATTTGATTTATTGATTTGAAATATAATTATACAATTAAAATATAATCTATAACTACACAGTCTCTTAATAATTTATAATATTATTTTATATTTTGGAATTTTTAGAAATTTTAAATGCATTACAAATCCTTTCAGTAAAAGTTTTTGGGTTCTCAAAATTGTTGATACTTTATTAAATGAAAGTTAAGTCAGACAAAATTGTAAATAATTCATCAATGGATTCGTAATAATAGATCTATGATTTCAATGCAAAGTTGTTGATATTTTTCATTTATAAGTACTAAATTAAATCAAAGTACAAAACCATATAAATAGGGCATATCAGCTGCGTATATCCCAACTGAATATCTGTTATTCCTTCTTTGTGCCTGGCATGTTAATGGCGGCAAAAGTGAGCAACTGTCGCAGTTATTTGACGGCAAAGGAGACGATTTTCACGGGAATGACGAGGATGTGCGAATGAGGATACTGGGTGTTCTATATGCGAGTATACATATATAGAGTATGTAGGTACTATATAGCCATCGTGGCTGTAGTAGTAGTTGTACCGTCTGCGGCAGTCACTAAACTTGCCGTGTCATCGCCATGTCATTCATTTGCATACCAGAAGGAAAAAACGTTGGCAAAGGCAAACACTTCGGGGCGTCGAGAAGATGATGATGTGCCAAATAAACGGGGCCAGGAGCACGGCGCATTTTCGGATGAAATTCATGAATACAAATGGAAGGCGGCAACTGTCTGCCATTGCGACTTTAATTGCTCCATAGCTGTTACATTTTGATTAGTCTCCCAAAGGCGGAAGGAAAGGAGGATGACGTCCCGAAGTATCCTACTTAATCGTTGAAAAAGCTGCTGCAATCCAAGGACCAAGAACCATTCCTGTAATCAAGGGCCATCTGTTGAGTCCTCGTTGATTTGCTGCAGCTGATGAAGGGCAGCAACTCATTTCGGTGCGATTAAAGTATTTACTGCCAGGCAATACGCATTAATCACCGCTTGTGTTAATGCGCTGCAATTCCCTTTATCGGATCTGCCTGGGAAAGCGACACTGGCAGAAAAAACTGGGGGATATGATGGAAAAGGTACGCAATAATCTGGAATACCACAGGAATTTTGTTTAATTTCTCAAAGGTATGTTTATGTGCTCTGAAATATAACTACTGAGGAATTTAATAAATGAATGTTACCATCTTAAAATAATATCAAATCGTCAAACTGAAGCTTTTCCCATTTTCTAAAAATTCGTACAAGCAAAAAAGAAGTAAATTATTTTCCCAAGGCTACTTTTTCTTAAAGTGCTCGAATTCTCATTTGCTCTTTGGTTGTCTGGGTTCCATTGGAGCAGTTACTGCCGAAGTGGACCAATTCCAGCGCTCTTTCGGTCTTCCAGTCTCCGTACTCCGGTTTTCAATCCCGAGGATTGAGTGCAACCAGGTGGAGAGAGGTAGCCAGGTTGCCAGGTAGCCAGGTGTCGTGCCGTGGCGCCACTGCGTGTGGCAATCGATCGAAGGGATTGCCAATTATAGAACGCCCCAGTTGGGCAGTAATTTGCATTGCTGGTCAAAGTCTGGGCCACTCGAATGCAGCCTCAAGCAGTCGCAATCGAATTGGCCATTCGATTCGATTCGTTTGGCTTAGTTTCGAGTGAAGGAGCAAACAGCTGGTTTGTTGGCCAAGAGAAACTTTTCAAAAGGCCAAATAGTTGCTGCAAATATGCCGGACTCGCCCTTGCAGTGCTGCTTCTGTGGCAAGTGAGCTCTTGGGAGCCCTTTCGAGGGCATGTGGCACGTGCCTGGGACACAAACTATTTTCGAATTGCTCATACGCACCGTTGCTCCCTGGACATTTACAGCCTGTCATCTTCACGCTCGTTTTCCCCTCCCCTCCCCTTCACTCGTCTTTCTTCAATCAAGTGTCTCGGAATGGATATCCATCCATCTATCTATCTTTCCATCCATCCATCCATCCATTCATGTCACCAAGAAAAGAAAAGCGTTTCAAAATCGATATCTGCTCTTTTGGCAGCCGTGAATCGCTAATTGCCGTTTCTCATTTCCCGTGCATCAATTGCCGCCGACATCCTTCGGCAATTTTGAGTTTCTCGCGTCGCGGAAGCGGAAACCCATGGCATTCGCACAGAAGTAATGTGAATTCGCGTCTTGAATTCAAATGGCCCAACATTTGCGGCTAATTTATGAGTTTTTAAGCCGTTTCGGATGGGCTTTGATGTCGCTAACACGGCTGATGCTCATATTTGTATGTACATACTCTATGTGTATACACATGCATGCATTATGCATAAAGGAGCACAAACAGTGTGCAGAATGGCTGGCTTTGACCTGGTCTAGGATCCATCGACCCGTGACTTCCATTGTTCCTGCCAACAGTGAAAGTCTTCCACGGGTGAAAGTAAACTGAAACGAGTTGCGGGCACTTTCTCATTTCACTTCGAGCGAGCGGCTTTAATGGACGACACTGAAGTTGCGCCAGTTGGCAAGTGTCGACAGGAAAGTGACGATGGCACTGCGAGCCCGCTCCATCCCTGTGGTCACAGGTGCACTGAGAGAAAATTAACCATTCCCAAAAAGTGGGTTTGCTGAAAAGTTACAAAAATTCACTAATTCTAAGTCCACAGCTTTTCTAATTTTAATCAGATTTTAAAGTGGCATACCTCTTTAAGTTTGTTTTTTAAGTCTCTAACAATTAATTAAATTTAATTTTTTAATAATTTTTTTTTTTTTTTCTTCAGAGGTATCACGTTCACTGCATTGCAACCTCCTGACTGAAATTATAATAACCTGTGTAAGGGTATTCAATTTTTAAGTTTTTCTATTCCAAATTTAATTGTAAATGTGATGGCAATTTTCGTGCTCAAAAACATTTATACCAAATTTAGAAACTGAATTTGGGAACTGTATTAGGGAACTGAATTTAGCAAGGCTTGAATTTTCTCAGTGTGGCGACAGGAGCAGGCCATCGAGTCATTATCGAGGCTATCATCCGTTTAAGTGCCGTCGAAGGTGGTTGGCTGACTGCTCCACCTCCGTCGTAAACTTTGCTCTTTTGCCATGCAGCTGGCGAAAGTTTTGTGTGTTTTGAGTGCAGCAGCGAGGAACAGAGCCTCTTTCTGTACCCTTTACAATTCCCGAGTCTGCTCCCTTTGCTGGGATCCTGGCCATAAGGCAACTCGTTGGCTGGCAACGCCCCAAGGAAGCAACATGTTGCGGCAGCATGTTCTTCGCCCCGCTTTTGTTGGGGTCTTCATAACTAATTGGATTTGAATCAGCGAGTTCCTCCTTGTTGAAATCAAAGCATATAATATAAACAATGAAGGCAGCCCTTCGCAGATTCCTTTGTTTCGATTCTGTATTCTCCGGAGGGCAATCAAATATAACAACAACACAACGATGAAAGAGTAAAACTGTTCAAATCAATGGAACTGAGTAAGCAAATGGTTGCTGAATGGATAAAATGCGGGATGAACTCGCCTTTGCATGAATTTCTCCAGAATAATTAAATCAAAAATGTGCTTTTCATTTCCATGCCCCCTTTAGCCCCCCGCATTCCCCTTGCCCCTGCCACATGCCACCTCTAAGTTGCGAGCGGCACAAACACGCTCTTTCCATTAAAATAGTTTCCCCAAGGTTTTGTCAGGGGAAATCCTTCGCGTGGCCTGTGGGCGGTGGGCGTTGGGCGGTGGGTGGTGGGTTTGGTTCCCTCGTGATTGCTTCGATTGCTTGTTAATCATTCGCATGTTGGTCAACAATGTCTTCTGCTCCATGAAGGCCAACACGACGCCGCCAGCCGTAAAGCGATTTTATCGCCTTAGCTTCGCAGGAACCTTATGCAAAGTGCACACTGGGAAAAAAATGATTGTTGTATTTTTTACACGAGAAAGATTAACTTTTTAGTAAAAAGAATATATTTATTAAGTGCTTTCTTTAAATGGATAAAATTAGAATATTTTACTGCTGAATTTAAAATCAAACTATAACATACAAATACTGTTTAATTAGGCAAATATATTAGAAATTTTTATAATTAAAAGTGCTTTTTGGTTTTGTTGTTCGATTTGTAAGCAAATCCTATTGAAACAAAAAGAGAAAAAAATAGACAATTATATTTAAATTTAATAAAGTGATATCAATCCAATGTTTTCTATGCAAGTGTTCTCCTCCGCTCAGGGATAACATTATTCATAAACCTATTAAAGTTGTGGCAAGATTACGTAACTGCTTGGCATTTCCAAATCCCTTAGGCAATTGGTAAGAAATGATTTCTGCTGGCATAAACACAACAAAACGCAAGTACAAAGGCAGCGAAACTAGCTAAAAATATATTTCTTTGTAATTCTGTAGTTGACTATAAACTAATTAAAGTTTTTAATACTACTCGTAGTTCATTTAGTTTTTGCATTTGTATGCATGTTACTTTACTTTACATGTAATTTAATTTTACGTTTTATAAGATCATCACATAACTGTTCGTGTTGATATCAAAACTTTATTTAGCTGTAGTAATTTGTTCAGTAGGCGAATTTCGATTTTCAAGAGGCTGACCTTTTGATCTTTAGTTTGTATTTATAACCTCCTTGATTTCCAGCACAATAGATCACACGCTAAGTGGTATTGATTCGATTGTTCTTAGTGTAGACATAATACCCAGGCATTTTTCTCTGGAGCACCCAGAGTGGAGATGAGCTCCGCCCCGAGGGGCACCTTCCTTATTTGGACCGCCTTCCCCCAACCGAGACGACATTCACGACAAATGTCTTTCATTTACGCGTAATAAAAACGAAATCTCCGCTGAACAATGGCCGCCGGGCGGCTTTTGCAGCAACGAGCCAAAGTGGAAAGTGGATGTAGAAAGTAGAAAGTGTGGAAAGTGGAGAGTAGAGAGGGGAAGGGGGCATGCCACCCCCGCCACGCCCATAACTTGTTGTTCTTTCCCCTCGTATATGTACTTTGCGGCTGCCTCAAGTGTATTTTACGTTATTTTCTATTTAATTTACAGCTCAACCTCCCCGGGGAATTCAGCGCTCGAGGAAGTGCTGCCTGCTCTTAATGGCATAAAAGTATAAGCCATACATGTTGATTACGCGGCAACGACGCTTAAATATGCATGAGCCGAAAGCGCATTGAATTTAAAACGCATAGAGCGCCCTCAAGGAATCTAATATCCACCGTAGTATCCTTAGTATCTGGCGTTCCAAGAAGTTAACCAGAAGTATTCGCAAGTGGCGCCAAGGCACTGAATGCGAATCAAGTCTGCCAGCTTCGTGGGGTTAAAGTGGATAAGTTAAATACATTTCCAGTCGCAACTCAAGATGGATCCTCATTCCTCGATGGACGGGAAGGGGGAAGTGGTATTATTTCACGGGCACCCTCAATGTTTATCCCCTTGGCTCTTTTGCAGATTAATTAGGAAATTAAGTGCATGACAAACGCCGCACTCGAGTTTCGCCAGTCAGTTGAGAGCGAGAGTCTCGAGTTGGGTGGCATTTTCAGACTTAATCGATGGGAAAAGTGGTGCGCTTTCCCGCCAGCAGACTGCCCATTATTTACTAATTAAGTTTCAAACTCAAATATTTTAATGCAGGCGCAGCGTAACTCGAGGTCTGTGACATTTTCAAGCTTAATCGATGGCAAAAGTGGTTAATTTCCGGCATTATTTGCTAATTGAAATTTGGCAGTTCAATGATTTACATTGAGAATGTTCTCAGAAATTGGTTGGGAGATTTTCTGACTTATTCGATAGCAAAAGAGGTTAATTCCTTACAGGGAATAAAATAAGGTAGTAAATAAAATATATGTATTTATATACGATGGGAGATGAAAATTTTTTGTCACTTTATTAATTTTTAGACTTGGTTGATAGCAAAACTGTCTCCTTGCAGAGACTCTTCGTTATTTACTAATTAAAATTCGGAAGTCAAACAAGAAGAACTAGAAATGCAATTTCAAAATTCAATTTCAGAATTCAAGAAGACTCTTTATTACTAACTTCAATTTTAATCTTTTGTCATATGTTCAGAAAGTAAAATGAATGGTTTTCTTTTGACAATGGTGTTTAAAATGGGGGAAAAAAATACATTTCAGTTTTAAATGTGCTTAAAATTGGGTAAATAGGAACATTAGCTTTTTTCAAACTTAATTAATATAAACGGCGCTAAAAAAGAAGCTTCTGACAAAGATTGCTAAATTATTTATGAAGTGCAGTTCTTAAGTAAAAAATTTAAAGTAAGAATATTTATATAAATTTCAAATAAAATATTTTAAAGCAAGATAGATTATAAATAGAAAGTCTTGGTTAATTTGGAAACATTTTGAAGTAAGATGGCGTGTGAAAAGAATGTGTCTGCGAATCTGTCAACTCGACATCCGGAAAGTTGTTATGGTATATTCCGCACTAATGAACATTTATGTCCTCATTCATTGGGGTCGTGGGTGCTCTGTTTTTCCCTCGTTTTCCATCTTTTCCCCCATTTGGAACCATTAATACTCATTGCGTTCCGGGAGCCGCCAGATGCAGTTGCTGCGATCCTGACATCCTGCGGCCCACCGCCTTTGTGTTCCTGTCACTCAGCAGGTCGTAACTACTCGCTAGCCATACACACACACACACACACACAAATACATTACATACGTGCACATATGTGTGTGTCCTGCCAACGAGTCCTTTTGCCGCATGTTCCCACTTTTGCGGCAGTCGGAATAAAATGATGCTTTAAACTATACACAAAGAGATCCGATTTCCGCTCCCACTTCTCCCTCTACTCCCTCTACCCCTCCCCCGACCTTTAACCCCTATTTCCCCCTTTTAGGCCCCCCTTCCCCCCTTTTTAGTATCCATTGTTTCGGTGGACAAAAGGTATTTAGCAGATTTGCATGCACAAACACGCGCTCAGCCATCCGTTGTGGCTGCATCCACAGGATGTGCTCTCGATCCTGGTCACGGGCCAAAAAGTGCTTTGAAACAGTTCTAAATTTATTTGAATGTGATTAGTTTGTCGCCCAGGAGCAGCAGAAGGTGCTCGACCCATAAATATTCATGGCCCAGTTTAAGTGCACAGCGAGAAATGCAGCGAAAATAAAGTTATATATTCATAGAAATTATTTTTCGGTGACTATGGATAAATTTCACGTTGTTTTATTTGCTTTTGTTTTTAACGATATTTTTATTATCAACAAATTTTTATTCTCTTAGCAATAAATAAATACGTAAAAAACATATTTTAGATGCTACAATATTTTATAGGATTTATTATTTTAATGCTATTATTGTTTTGCTATTATTATTTTGTTATTATTTGCAGTACTTAAATTTTGATTATTATGGTGTATCTCCCTCTCCTGTTGTCAGGTTTAAGGGCAACAAATACATTTGTATCAAATTTAATTAATAAGCTTTAATACAAGTTGAAAGTCCCAAAGTTTTACAGTTGCAACATTTTATTTCCTTGTGAAAAATGAATTGTTTAATGCACAATGGACGTTGGCACAATTGTGTACAATTTAATTAAGGGTGGCAAATGAAAGAGTAAAATACTTACAGTTCTCACATACTTGTTTCCGTATTTAACTTAATTATCTTGTGTTAAAATTGTGAAACAATATTGTTTGCATATTAAGTGAAATTCGTGGCAACACATTGCATTTCCAAGGGAATCCATCACATGATATCGCCTTTTCAATCCGTGTTCAACTCAAACTCGCAGTTGGCCGAGCCGGCGGCGTTCGATAGCTTCCCGTTTTGACTCCGATTTGAATTCCAAATTGCTGGCCCGGCTGGGATGCTCGTAGGAGTTGCCACACGAAACGAACTGCTGGCGAGGATGGCGTCCGGAATCGATGTGAGTCGCGAGTGCAAGCAGATCTTCGACCAGATCCGCCGCATGAAGAGGCATCGCTATGCGATCTTCGACATTCGCGAGGAGCGGGAGATCAAGGTCGAGTGGCTGGGAGTGCGGGAGGCGAGCTACGACGACTTCCTGCAGGATCTTCGCCGAGCGGGCGCCAATCAGTGCCGCTTCGCAGTCTACGATTATTCGTATCAGCATCAGTGCCAGGGCGCCTCATCCACCTGCCTCAAGGAGCGACTCTTCCTGATGCTCTGGTGTCCCACGCTCGCCAGGATCAAGGATAAAATGCTGTACTCCAGCACATTTGCAGTGTTGAAACGCGAGTTTCCCGGCGTGCAAAAGTGCATTCAGGCCACCGATTTGGACGAGGCATGCCGCAATGCCGTCGAGGAGCAGCTGAGATCCTTGGACAGGGAATAGTATTTATTTATTTTCGATTCCCCATTCCTCCATTGAATTCCTTGAAATACAGCAAAGCCAATCAGTCCGGCCCACCAGTTTAAATTGCCTACGGTGTCGGGTTCTTCTGACTTTGTGGCGCCTCCAAAAAGTTGCTGTCCATTCACATCCGCATTGGCATCCGCATCCGCATCCGTTTCGACTTTCGTTGCCACGGGCTCCGATTTAATTTGATTTGGCCGGGCATCTAATGAGACCATTTGGCATATGGATGCCTCTTGACTTGCCTGCCACGGGTATCAGCTGTAATTTGTTTTGTCCCCTCGTCCTCACAAAAACTCCGAGCCTCATTATCCTGGCCTGGCTAAAAATACTTTCGCCTCGGTTGAATGCTACAGAGTCTGTTGCCGCTGATTCTGATTCTGATTCTGATTCTCTGTAAGGGCAAACTTTTCGACATTCAGACTTTTTTATCTCGTCCATAAATCACGGCCAAGTTGAAAAACGCCCTCTTTTCGTTCCCTTGACTCGCGGCTTTCCATATCATTTGGCTTGGGGGTCTGGGAATTAATCAAATTGACGAGGAGCACGTCACCGGCCTCGATTGCCATATTTCAAACAGGATTTCGAATTGGATGTGCACTGCTTATTGATTCACTCAATTCAATCGGACTGCAGTCCACAGTCCATTCTGTGAGCCTTCATCTCCCGCTCTGCCTCCTGCTGCAGTTTGCATCGACTGCACGGACATCGTCCTTGCAAGGACTCCTTCTGATAGAGATGGCCACCACCTCAAAAAAAGGCTGACACTTAACAAATTGGCGATTTAAGCTGCAAGGAGTACTTTGTAAAGTTCTTCTTACAATGAATGACTTTCGATTTTAGATGATTCACTTATTAGTTAGCTTCACGCAAAAAATATATTTTATTGAACAAAAGATGTTAAGCTTCGATTGAAAAGAGATTTTACCAAAAATTACTTCTATCCTTTTGTGGTTTAGGTCTTGCTTTAATTTTTGCTGGTCTAATATATATTAATATATTTTTTAAAATTGATTTTGTTATTATTTCCTTATCTTTTCTTTCGTAAATGGCAATTGTAATATTAAAATAATTACAAGTAGGCTACAGGTAGGCACATAAAATAGCTTACTTTTTTAAAACAAAGTACTATCGCCTGTCTGAATTTTTAAATTTTATGACCACAACGTAAAAGGACTGTGGTTCGCAATTATGCAAATTAAACTGTCACAATTATATAACAAGTGCAACCATTTTCTCGTTTGAGAAAGGAAACCACTGAAAACCTGACATTTCCAACCGGAAAAAGGACAAACGGTCGTCACTGTCCTGGCAATTTAATCGGCGTGCCCAAACTGTCGTTGGCAACGGTGCAAATATTCGTCATATGCCCGGGTAATATAAAGGAGGAACTGATATCACTTGGCGAAAGGAGGCGGTGCTGGAAGGACACCGATGTCCTTCGAAGAAACCGAAGGTGGAAGGGGGGAAGTGGGAAACTGGCAACCAGGAAAAGCGAGCCGAGGCAAAGTTTTCCAAATGAAGCGAGTGAAAGGCAAACAGAAAGATAAAAAAAGAAACCTCAAAGAGATGCAGTCATAAATTTGCCGCCTCCTTCAATCTTTTTCTTATTTTTTTTGTTATGCCACAACAAATGTGGCAAAATCAAAGCAAAGCGAAGCGAAAGGAAAAAGGAAAAGTAAAGGGAAACAACAGAGTGGAGGAGCGAATGCGACACCCGAGGAAATCCACGCAAATCTAGTGGAAAATTAAAATTTTGCCAATTTATGCGAGGCGTTAGAGGCGGAAAACGTTGGAAAATATCGGAAAGCAAAAGCAAAGGGCACGCACATTTTGGCCAAGAAACGAAGGAGTGTGGCTAAAAACCCTTTAAGATTTTGGCCATCAGATTCGCGGCGAGTTCGCACTTTGGCAGCGGAAATGAGTTTACCTTCGATCCTGGACAGGATATGAAGCTTTTTTGGGCGCCACCTGCATGCAAATGCATCTGGGTTTTGGCCCTCAAGTTGGCCAAGAAAGTGCCACTTTGGCCACTCCTGCAGAGTTCCGTGAAATGCAGTCATAGGAGCTTCCCCTTTATCTACCAATTTCCTGAGAAGCTGATGGTCGAAAACGGGACTGTATACACTTAGGAAAAACATCATGCATTCGGAGCACAATTGCAATCTGGTGCCTCGAATTCCAAGCACGTTCATACGAAAATGAACTTAAACGAAGTGGGTATCCGGACTTAAATCAAAAATGCTTAAGTTGGAGAACAATAAAAGAATGAAAGTACTGAGTTCAAAACTTGGCAGTTGTTTCTGCAATTCTTCAATTAGAGTTAAATTGCATTAGTTCTCGATTTACAACTTAATATATATTTTACAAATTCAAGTATGCATTTTAATTCGAAATTATTCTGGTTTAGAATTCTGTGTAGTAAAATTGCTATTTACTCTTCAAATACAATTTAAAGTATTTATATTTGGCTTTTTTTTTATTCAAAATCAAATCAATTAAATTTTACTGGTCGATATGCATATGCATAAATAAAATTAAGTTGTAAAAATACTAATTAAATTGCTTCAATAAAAACAAAACACTATTCTTACTTAAAATATACATTTTTATTTTATTTTCTAACTTTAAACTAAATAAAGTCGGACTAATACAAATATTGGCCGTTTTAAAAATTGCGATATTTTGCAACTTGAGCTGAGGAATTGGAAACTAAGCTCACAGTTGATGGGGAAACCACTTTTTGAAAAGTAATGTGCGACATCTTGTTGGCAATGTAATTAGTCATTGGCTGGGAGACGGATCAGTGGGACGTCGACGACAAACGACGACGATTTAACTCTTAATGCGTTTGTCAATGGCCAAAACTTTGCTTTGCCGTTCGCCGTTTTTCGTTATTATTTTCAATTTGCCTCGAGCCGAAAAGCAAAAAAAAAGAAAGAAAGAGAGAGTGGTCCATTTCTAGCCAGCTAAGCGGCTTAAATGCCGGCAAAATCCGAGACAGATGTCGTTGGCCACCAGGAGCGAGGATTCCCTGGAATCGCACATTCCGGAGGATCCCCACTGCCAATCTCAATTTGCAAGTGCACCACTTCACTTTCCCTTACTTTCCTTCCCCCTCACCTCCCTTTCACTTTCACTTTCCCTTCCAGCCGCTGTCTTCTATTTAATTATGCTTGCTGTGCCAATGAAATTGAATTTGTTAGCCAAAGTCGATGTTTGCTGTCAAACTTTTGCCTTTGGCCACTCATCGCGTGGCAAACTTATTCAGCCATTAATGGCTGGTTCGGGTTCCTTATCCTTGACTCGAAACATCCTTTCCACTCAAAGGCAAATCGCGAAAGTACACAAGCTTTATGCCAAGGCAAATAACCAAATAAGCGGGTTTTTGCCTTTGGGCGGCCAAAAGCACGGCTCAAATGTTGCAGCCACTCGCTGTTCGCAGTTGTGTTTACCCCGTGTAAGCCAGTTATCTGGGGCATCTTGTCCACATGTCCCACAAAACTGCGAGCTCTGCAGGTCTGCCGCTTTCTGGCTTTTCTAATTTGGAACGCAAACAACTGGCAAACAACTGCAAGGATGCGATTTTTCCCGCTCCATGTGGGAATTTTCGCACACGCAGCTCCGAAATTCAACGTTTTGGCAAAGCAAATAAATTGGCTGATTGAAGTTCTTTTGTTGAAAACTACCATTTAATTGAAAATGATATTTCTAATTTATGGCATAGCTGAAAAGCTAAGTTTTAATGGGTTTAATTGATGGCCAAACCAAATAACCATGTTTTAGTGAGAACTGAAAATACGTAGAATATTTGGAATGGAAAAAGTAACACTTTTGGTTGAGTTTATTTATTAGAAAGGTTTTACAAACAAACAAATTGGATGATTGAAGTTCTTTACTATACAATTTTTGTTTAATTGGAATAAATGTTTTTAGTTTACGGCAAACCTAGCTTTATATTTCATAAAATCCAGAATATTTCTTTGCAAACTCCTAAAAGAAAATCACTTTTAAAGTGCATTCAACATGGTTTGCATTTACCATAAAAAATATTTAGAGAATTCTTGAAAGAAAACTTTATTCACTGGCGCACCCCTCAAGATGCTTTGTTAGCAAGTTTTAAATTCCAGGAACGCCGTTCAATAGCACTCAAATTGGCTCTTCGTCGATGCTATAAGTCCTTTCTAACAAGGCCAATTCCCCGCCAGGATCAATTCCTGTCCAAAGTCCGAGGAGCCATCGAAGATGCGAATGCGAATGCGAATTCGAATATGCTAAGTGTATGCAAAGTGCCGTGACAGCAGATACGGAATTGTTTCCGATGGAGGATGCCCCTTATTTGGATCTCTCGTCTCTCTTTCCAGCACATTGACCTTAAGCCGGAGGAAATTGGGGTGAAGGTGGGGTTTGAGTGTGCCTCTTTGATGGAAGCTACCTTTCTTGACAGGTAATAGGACAAGAATGAGCTTCAAAGTTGAGGAACGTGTGGGCGAATTTACTTAGAGCTAGGTTTGTTCAACTTTATGTAACTCAACTCTTTGAGTTATAGAAATTGATAAATAAAATTGGCTTTTAATTGATTACATAAGCTTTCCCTATTCAAAAGTTAAATTAGCAAAGTAACAGGAAGAGGAACAACTATATAAAATTGAAATATGCAAGTACATTCATTCAAGTAACTTATTATTTTTTTCTGCCTAATATTTATATACTTTTAAATTACAAAAGTGCATTTAAGGGCTTGGAAGTCCAGTTTCGCAGCTCTAAGAAGAATATTTGTAAGTCTCTTATACTAAACTTTAAATAACCTGAACTTATGTATATCCGAACTTCTATGTAGTCAGTTAAAAGATTTGCGCGACTTAGCCAACTCAACTTACGTAGAACGTTTCCCATTAAAACCTAAAATAACACTATTCCTGCATATTTTAAGAAAAAGTTCAACTCGACTAATTCCTGAAGAAAGGCGCCCAAAACAAAGATTATATATTATACTTTAATGCTGATTTATAGAGAACTAAGCCATCAAGTTTCGGAGATGTAGCACTTTGAAATCGCGATTTAATTGGCCAAGTTATGAAATAACAACCCGAAAGGCTTAATTTATGTAAATAATGTTTGTTTATTCGGAAAAAGGTTCGCTGCTGTTCGCTGGTTGTTTTGGGTTTCTGGGTTTCTGAGCTTCTGGGCTCTCGGACATTTGGGAAACTGGGAAACTGGACCCAATGTGCAGTGATGATGAGCAAGGGGAAAGGTTCGGAATTCGGTCTGGCAACTGGCAGACCCGAGATGTCCTGCTCCAGACGTTCGTCTGCCAGCCAACAAAAATTTTGGGGAGCTGCGTGAGCCGCTCGAAGCTTAATTTGAATTGCAAAGCGATGCCAGATGAAAAAGCTACACAGCCAAGGCCAAAAAACTGCCCCTTCATCTACTTTTCCATACACATGCTCGTATGTGAATGTTATTCTGGCCAAAGGCAACCAACCAACCAACCAACAAATAATATAAAAAAAAAAGACAACGAGTAGAGGAAAAAGAAGAAGAAAGTTCATTTATATTATATATTTGAAAATTGGCATTGTTACGGCTTGACGCTTAAATATTTAATATGCCGGCGAATATTTGGTCCGACGAATGCCTAAAAATGTGGTCACGAGTCTGATAAATGTGTGTATGTGACCGAAGGGCATGGAGTTCCAAGTTCCAAGCTCCAAGCTCCAAGTACCAAGTTCGCAGTTCGAGGTGAAGAAGAGGGGTCGGTGAACCTTGGGGGTCAGCAAACTGTCTGCAAATTACGCATGCCGTCGTCCATGTGGCGCCCCCTATTGGGGTCACACGTAACCGCAGGACCAATCGAGTGGAAGTCCTTCGAAACGTTTCGTTTGGTTGGGGTTGCCTATCCTTCGAGGATAGACCTGCCAGCCAGCTGGAGATCATCTAGACCAAGAGTTGTCCCCCGGGATCTGTCAGCAATTAAACTTTCGCTACGCGTTAGTCCCATTTCCATTTACATTCGCAAAAAACACGCTGCATATCCAGCAAATCCAACATATCAGCAAACAAACTTGAGCATCTGAAGCGAAAGTTCAAGGGGTGCGCGTCACGTGGTTTCTTCCTTTTCGAAAGGGCCCCCAATTTACATGGCCTCGTGTGCACACGAGATTAATGAATCATGAAGCTGGCCAAGCCGAACTGGCTTAAGAGCTGGACTCGAGGCCAAATGGAATTGTTGCGTGTCCATTGGAATGGCGAGTTGTGTGGACTTGTTTGAGTATTTGCCTCCGTGCCCTGTAATATAAATCGACCATCATCATCTCCGTTTGAGTAATACGCGTGCTCCTTTGACCCCAAAGAAAAAAAAAGAACCCATTGCATTTGAAGTAATGCCAATCACTTGGCATCGCCATTCAAGTTGCCAAAGTGGGATGAGATGTTTAGTAACCTTAAAGTCGAAACTTTATTTTATTTGATTTGTAGTGCTCGAAAATCAGACAGCCAATGCAATTATTCCAACAGGAATTTAATTAAAATTTAACAAATTGCTGGCCCAGAAGGCTTCTTTCCCAAGGCAGCCGGCATTTGTCTCTTCTGTTCGACTGCTCGAATGTTCAAATGCTCGACTGCTGTCTTTAATTAGCAGGGAGTCAACAACTAATTAACTTTTGCAGGGAATCGGAATCAGGAATCTCAGACTTTCGACTCGGAAATTTCTCTCCCTCAAGTGGGTGTGTGTTTCTTCGAATGTGTGTGTGTGTGTGTGTCGTTCTGGGTGTATGAGTGTGTGTGTGTGACGACACGTGCCAATTGACAGAAGCCATAAGGAAACCCATAAGCGGCTTACAGATTCAATTACCGGCAGCGAACTGCGAGCCACAAAGGTGGTCAACCATCAATTGATGGCTGGGATGATGCACCGCCGTCCTTTGGGGTCGAAGGTCACTGACTTAGCCTCGTGAATAATGTAAGAGTCACGAGTGCAGTTGAAGTGCAGTAAACGCTGATTTTAATTGGCTTACAGGAGAATTAACCAAGTGGGCGAGTTAACTATTTAAATATCATAATTCGAGGCTGTTAAAATAAGGGTTTTTTTGAATGCAAGTTAATTGTAAGGTAAGTTAAATTTGAATGCATATAGTGACTAATTGAAGCTGAAACCACTAATTAGTTAACTGGAGAGTAATCAAGTGAAGAGTTTTCAATTTAATTGTGGCTGGATTGTATTGGAGTTTTTAACACTCATGCTTTTTATTATAAGCTGAGATTTTTCCTTTTCGTTTTTGCTGCTCAATAATAAAAGTACTTTTACATTATTTAGTATTACGGTTAACTAATTAAATATAATAATATTTTAGTTGCATATTTAAGTTCATGGTTTTATTTTAGACTACATGTTGATTATATGTGTTTTACATTATTTATGTTTATTTAAAACGCATGAAGACAATGTTGCACACACAGAGGAGAACTCACAGGAAAGAAACCAAGTAGAGGGTTAACTAATTAATTGCCGATTTGTCCCCGTTAAGTACTGAAATTATTAAATTTTTATACCACCGAAGTTCCGAAACGATTCCCTTTCGCTCGTTGGCTGTTTTTGGCATAATAAAAATGCGGTCTTAAAACAGACTCAAGTCTGCAACCATTTTGGCGGTGGTTAATGGCTCTTTGTTTTTTTGGGCCGTCGTGCAGCTCTGTTTAAACATTGATAAGCCGCCGCAGGAGCTGCAGGCTCCAAATGGAATGGAAGGTGGCTCCTGGTCAAAGTTTTATTGCTCTGCTTATGTACAATGTACAGACATTAAATTAATGCTGCCAAATATTGCACTGGAGCCACGAGTCGAGTCTCTCCCCTCATTGTTTGCTCCATTCGAAAGTTTGCAGGATATGGCATGCAGGATAATGATAAGGATAACACAGATAACGATGCCACAGCCGAAGTGGAGAGTAGAGATTGAAGATTGGAGGATTGAGGAGTGGGGATTGTGGATTGAGGAGTGGGGCTTGGGGATTGGAAAGTGGAGAGTGGCGCCTCGTAAGTGCTCCTTGTTTGCACCAGTTGAGCTTCTCGGTGAAGCTTCTTTCGCAGTCGAACGGCTTTATTTTTGGTCCGCGCTGCGAAAGTTATGAATCGAATCTCAAACAAAAGCCGGGAGATGAGGGAAATGATGCTGCAGATTCGCTGTGCCTGTATGTGTGTGTGTGTGTGCTTTGTATGTTTGTGTTTGTGTGTGGCACACATGACACACATGTCAGCACAGAAGGAAATTGAATTGCACTTTAGTGGCGTCATAAGGATGTTCGTGAGGATGGTGGGATGGCAGAACGGAGCTCCTGGTGGCTCTTAAACGGTTTAAAAAACGCTCGCCAAATTCACTGGCAGCACTCTCCCACTAATCGCATTATCAGACTGGAAATCTGGGCTAAAAGGGGAGTTGAGTTGGGGAATACAAATAAAAAAGAAGTTCATCCATTAGAAACCCCAAAGCCCATAAATCAGGCGAGGGGTTGTTTTTCATAAGGGCTTAGGCATTATTCAACACATATTCGCATAATTAAAAATAAATAAATGTTGTAAAGCTTTATTAAAACCAGCAAAAGGACAAAAAAACTTATTTACGCAAATCAGCCAGCTAATAATGGGAATCGATTGGATTTTGTGGGTTGCATTTTGGGCAAGTGACCACATAAAAACCCTTAAAATAAACGGATTGGTGAACGAAATTCCAAAAATACATGGTCAACAATCGGATTATATTGGATTAAGGGACAGGAATTGATAGGTGTGCAAAAACAGTGGGTTGTTGGGCTCTGCGAGTTCTTACTTCAGGCAAGGGAACATTTATGTTTTAAAATAAATAACAAATATTTAATTAAAAATCCGAAAGTTGAGGGTGCATAATTGGAATCACCAAAAACAAGAAAGGAAGCTGGCTTCAGCGTTCCGAATCTTGCATCAAATATAATCTTTTAAATCAGTTAAGAATGTATATTAATTTGGAAACCAATTGATTAAGATAAATTTCTAGAGATATACAAATATATACTATTTGCAATGGGATATTGCATAAATAAATACCAACTACCAATGTTTTTTGTTAAATGCTGAACTGGCAGAAAGTAAAGACAACACTGATTGAACTATTCAACTGGCAAAAAAAAGCAGAGTTTTCTATTTCGGTAAATGTTTCATTCCATTCCAACCACTTGCTTTATTTCTGCTTATCAGATCACAATAGATTTCAATGGATTTCCGGTTTTCTATTTTCCGAGATTGGTAACCAAAAGGTTGCCAAATAGTTTCGCGGCGAGAGGATGATGAGCGTTAAGCCATCGAAGCTGTGTTTCCCGGCAACCGAGAAAAACTTCTGGTTGAATGGCAGGAATCTACCGAATATACCAACTACACCAAATACACCAAAAACACCGATGTCATCAGTCAAAATTAGAATCAAAGCACCCATCGATGACACGCCTAAATGGCTGTTGTTTGTTTTTTGTTCCGGCTTTTTGATGAGCTGTCGTTTCGCCGGTGACACCTGAGTGGGCCTTTGTCTTTCGACCAGGATTTCAACACCCACACCCAGATTCCGCCTACCGCATCACCTATTCTAAACATCAAATTGCTGCCCAGCAGCAGCATCAACATCAGCAACGTTGCTGAAATATTTGCAGCCGAATCGAATCGAAGGAATCTTCGGCTGTTCTGCACGACCTTTGCCACCATAAATTGCCAGCTTTTTCATTAATTTTGAGCCCGAAATTTATGACATTTGCTTGGCAAGCTTCAAGCTAATGGCCACAAATCAGAGCATCGCATAATTTGGCCCTCGACGGCGGGGGCCCTCCTTTGATTTATTTCAGCCACATGTCGCACACATTGTAATTTTTTACCAAAATATGAAAGCGAAATGCAAATGACTGCCATCACACATGAACTGCGGCACAGTGGGTGATATCTTGATATACCGAATTCCATTATTAGCATTGAATATTTCGAGTATTTGATTCCACTGTGCCAGCCCATTCATAAAGATTTCAGTGCGTGCCGGCTAACAGGGCGGATGCGTAACGTCAATTTAAAGGGCTCACAGCAAACAAAGTGGGCTTCATGTGTATGTTTCTGTATGATTGTGCGTGTGTGTGTGTGTGTGAGAGTGCCGATATATCCCGTCCACATCACCCGCCACTCGTGCACAGGAAAGTGTGTAGGCCATCAGACGTGTCCCAACTGCCAAGTGGCCATTCGAACTTCCGAACAGTGCCGATCCGTCAGCCACGAAAAATCGGAAGACGAAGCAGTGTATAAATTTCATTACAAACAATGTGTGCAAACATCCACTTGTAGTTGCTACTTTTTTTATCAATGAACGCGTACTTTGCGGCATTTTTTCATACCAATCTTTGTGCATTTTACATGGGGATAGGGATTTTTGAAATTCTATTTCAACACTTTAGCTTGTTGCACATTCTTGCATTACCAATTTATGAATGCTATAAACAAAAGTTTCTTAGCTTTTTTTAACCAATATTTGTTTAGATTCAGAGTTATAATTACTTTTTCATTGTTGTTCCGTTTTAAAAATAAACGCGTATTCTGAATATTATTCGTAATCAATCTTTATACAGTTTGTAGGTATCATATCATTTTTAAAAACCTCTTCATCACTTTAATTTTGTTAAAATTATATGAATGCTAAATATAACTAAAACTCTTCGGGTTTTGTCAAATCAATTTATTTAAGATTCAGAGTGTTCATTT